GTTCCTGATGTGCACGTGTGTAGCTTAGCGCAGTTTAGAGGGAACATTGCCCACAGGTGAAGAAGCCGGATGTGGAGGTTCTGGGCTGGCGTGGTTACATGTGGTCTGCGGTTGTGAGGCCGGTTGGACGTACAGCCAAATTCTCTAAAACAACGTTGGAGGCGGCTTATAGTAGAGAAATGAATATTCAATTATCTGGCAACAGCTCTGGTGGACATTCCTTCAATCAGCATGCCAATTGCACGCCCCTCAAAACTTGAGACATCTGTGGCATTGTGTGACAAAACTGCACATTTTAGAGTGCAGTTGCGCCTGTGTAATGATCATGCTGTTTAATCAGCTTCTTGATATGCCACACCGGTCAGGTGGATGGATTAGATTGGCAATGGAGAAATGCTCACTAACAGGGGATGTAAACAAATTTGTGCACAACATTTGAGAGACATACACCTTTTGTGCTTATGGAAAACATCTGGGATGTTTTATTTCAGCTAATGAAACATGGGACCAACACTTAACGTTGCATTTACAGTGAGGGAAAAAAGTATTTGATCCCCTGCTGATTTTGTACGTTTGCCCACTGACAAAGACATGATCAGTCTATACTTTTAATGGTAGGTTTATTTGAACAGTGAGAGACAGAATAACAACAAAAAAATCCAGAGAAACGCATGTCAAAAATGTTATAAATTGATTTGCATTTTAATGAGGGAAATAAGTATTTGACCCCTCTGCAAAACATGACTTAGTACTTGGTGGCAAAACCCTTGTTGGCAATCACAGAGGTCAGACGTTTCTTGTAGTTGGCCACCAGGTTTGCACACATCTCAGGAGGGATTTTGTTCCACTCCTCTTTGCAGATCTTCTCCAAGTCATTAAGGTTTCGAGGCTGACGTTTGGCAACTCGAACCTTCAGCTCCCTCCACAGATTTTCTATGGGATTAAGATCTGGAGACTGGCTAGGCCACTCCAGGACCTTAATGTGCTTCTTCTTGAGCCACTCCTTTGTTGCCTTGGCAGTGTGTTTTGGGTCATTGTCATGTTGGAATACCCATCCACGACCCATTTTCAATGCCCTGGCTGAGGGAAGGAGGTTCTCACCCAAGATTTGGCGGTACATGGCCCCGTCCATCGTCCCTTTGAGGCGGTGAAATTGTCCTGTCCCCTTAGCAGAAAAACACCCCAAAGGATATTGTTTCCACCTCCATGTTTGACGGTGGGGATGGTGTTCTTGGGGTCATAGGCAGCATTCCTTCTCCAAACATGGCGAGTTGAGTTGATGCCAAAGAGCTTGATTTTGGCCTCATCTGACCACAACACTTTCACCCAGTTCTCCTCTGAATCATTAAAATGTTAATTGGCAAACTTCAGACGGCCCTGTATATGTGCTTTCTTGAGCAGGGGGACCTTGCGGGCGCTGCAGGATTTCAGTTCTTCACGGCGTAGTGTGTTACCAATTGTTTTCTTGGTGACTATGGTCCCAGCTGCCTTGAGATCATTGACAAGATCCTCCCGTGTAGTTCTGGGCTGATTCCTCACCGTTCTCATGATCATTGCGACTCCACGAGGTGAGATCTTGCATGGAGGCCCAGGCCAAGGGAGATTGACAGTTCTTTTGTGTTTCTTCCATTTGCGAATAATCACGCCTACAATCTTGTCCCTGACATCCTTGGAGAGCTCTTTGGTCTTGGCCATGGTGGCGAGTTTGGAATCTGATTGATTGATTGCTTCTGTGGACAGGTGTCTTTTATACAGGTAACAAGCTGAGATTAGGAGCACTCCCTTTAAGAGTGTGCTCCTAATCTCAGCTCCTTACCTGTGTAAAAGACATCTGGAAGCCAGAAATCTTTCTGATTGAGAGGGGGTCAAATACTTATTTCTCTCATTGAAATGCAAATCAATTTATAACATTTTTGACATGCGTTTTTTCTGGATTTTTTTGTTGTCTCTCACTGTTCAAATAAACCTACCATTAAAATTATAGACTGATCATTTCTTTGTCAGTGGGCAAACGTACAAAATTAGCAGGGGATCAAATACTTTTTCCCTTACTGTATATTTTTGTTCAGTATATATGGTATACTATGGTATAGATCGACGGTGATAGTCTGCCTATAACCAGCTTGAGTAGGCCTTAAACTCCATTCCTATTCTATTCAGAGTTTAGAGAAATTAATCAAAAAGGAAATTAGCTATTATCAGGGTGGTTAATGTGATGCATGTCTGTTGAATTTGGAAAAAATCTACCTGCATTCGGCGCCGCCCCACCTACTCAGCCAATCAGGAGATGCTACTGCGTTGTGGCCGTAGCATACTGCATACTTTTAAATAAACATTACGTGCTAAATAGGATGCGACAATGAGTGAATAGTATGCAGTTTATGTAGCACGCTAGTTTGGGTATTTGGACATGCCCTGTGTTTGAAATTCACTGCTCGACTGAGGGACCTTACAGATAATTGTGTGGGGTACAGATATGAGGTAGTCATTAAAAAATAATGTTAAACATTATTATTGCACACTGTGTGAGTCCGTGCAACTTATGTGATTTTTTTTATCCTGAACTTATTTAGGCTTGCCATAACAAAGGGATTGAATTCTTATTGACTCAAGACATTTCAGCTTTTCATGTTTAATTCCACTTTGACATTCAGTGACAAAAAATATCTAAATTGAATCCGTTTTAAATTCAGGCTGTAACACAACAAAATGTGGAAGAAGTCAAGGCATGTGGATACTTTCTGAAGGCACTGTTTATGACAACAGCTGGTCCACGATGCTCGATTCAAATAACACATGTGACGAAGTGGATGATTCTAATAATGCATATAAAATATTCTACATTTAAGTGTAGGCCTACATGTCTATGTAATATACGTAGGTCTAATAAACGTGATTATTAGCAGTGTGCCTGTCTACAAGGTTGAAGAAAGATGCAGCTCCTCATTAAAAGTAGGTTTTATTATCTTCATTTTCTGTGTTTGCTGCATGTCCCTTCGCAATACACTAACTAAATAAATGTAATTCTACATTTCATTTCAAAAAACCATATCTCGCCTGGGATTAGAATTTACGGCAAAAATTAACAAGAGCCAGGCTCGCTACACTGTGAGCAATTCATTCAGTTGAAATGTTCTGGGTGTTTTAGAATATTTGATCGTTTGACTTCTGTTACTCTTATGGAAAAGTGTTCTATTACTTCAACATTTGTAATTGGCTGATGCAGAATTTGTCACTGGACACTATCATTGCCACCTGGTCAGGTTAGCATAGGGTTAAATGTGCCAGGTTATGTAATGGGAACAGCTAACATGTAGCGTTTCATCAGGTGCAACTACATCAGCGATTTTAATTGGCAAATTTCGAGAAATTTCGTAAGTAATTTTTCTTATGTTCGTAAGTATGTCTTAACCTATCATAACCGAAAATATAATGTTGTATTACGCCATTGTTTCAGGACATACACTAACCTGCAATGATACTGCTAGTTATGACATTCAGGAAGACGGTTGATGTATTGATGGCCATCTTGAGGGATTCCTCAGCACTGGTAATGGTAGGAACCACTGTCTGGTTCTTGAAGATCAAGTTGGTTTGCACACCCACAGACCCATTCCTAAAATTATGAAAGGTAATGAGGAAGATGGATGGTGGTTAGATAGGTATTTCTGTTGACAGTATTCTGTACCTTTTTTAAACTGAACTAATGAAGATGCTAAAAGTATGTAGGCAGTAGCAAAAGTTTTAATTGAAAGCCAAATAATAGACTGTAAACAATTATGGACTCACCAGAAATGTATGATGATGCATCTCAGGAAAGTGAAAGGATACAACAACTTGTACCCTCGATTCAACTGCAGAAAACCAGAAGACAGCATTTTTATGGATGATTTAATTTAAATGATTGCTTTATATTCTCCAAATATTAAGGTCAATGGCTATAATCATTGGTTTTAAGATTGGATTTGTGTTGGTGATTTGTGAATTACCTCAGTTGTGACATTATAAACCAGATATTTATACTGTTGGGACTCAGGGTTGTTGTAGGCTGAGATGAAAACACGCATAATGCGAAATTCTAGAACCAGGTACCCCTCATTTGGTTGTGGGGGATCTGTGGATGCAGCTGTGGTTGTTCTGGGGTTAGCTGTAGTTGTGGGAGCAGCTGTGGCAGTAGTTACAGCAGCGACTGTGGTTGTCGTTGGTGCAGATATGGTTGTTGTGGAAGCAGCTGTGGTTGTTGTTGCAGCAGCTGTGGTTGTTGTGGGTGCAACTAAAGTTGTTGTGGCTGCAGCTATTGTTGTTGTGGCGGCAGCTGTGGTTGTTGTGGAGGTAGCTGTAGTTGTGGTGGAGGCAGCTGTGCTGGTAGTTACAGCAGCTGTGGTTGTCATTGGTGCAACTGTTGTTGTTGTGGGAGCAACCGTGGCTATTGTGGGTGCAGCTGTGGTTGTTGAGTGAATGGCTGTTGTTGTTTTAGCCCCAGCTGCAGTTGTCATTGGTGCTGCTGTTGTTGTTGTGGGAATAGCTGTGGTTGTTGTGTGAAAAACGGTGGTGGTTGTGGGTGCAGTTGTGGTTGCTGTGTGACCAACTGTGGTTGATGTGGGTGCAGCTATAGTAGTTTTCGCCACAACTGACGATGTCATTGGTGCAGCTGTGGTAGGTGCACTTATGGTTGTTGAAGCCACAGCTGTAATTGTTGTTGGTGCTGATGTAGTTTTTGTTGGAGCAGCAGTGGCTGTTGCAGGAGAAGCTTTGGTTGTTGTAGCCGCAGATGTAATTATTGTTGGTGCTGCTGTGATTGTTGTGGGAGCGGCTGTGGTTGTTGTGGGGGAGGGTGTGGTTGTTTTAGTCATAGTTGTCGTTGCTGTTGATGTGGTTATTGTGGGAGCAGTTCTGGTTGTTGTGGGAGTAACTCTTGTTGATGTGGGTGCAGCTCTGGTTGATGTGGGTGCAGCTGTTGTTGTTGTCGGTGGATCTGTGGTTGTTGTGGGAGCACCTGTGGTTGTTGTTGCCACAGCTGTAGTTGTCGTTGGTGCTGCTGTGGTTTTTGTGGGAGCAGCACTGGCTGTTGTGGGGGCAGCTTTTGTTGATATATCAGCAGCTGTTATTGTTGTGGCAGAAACTGTGGTTGTTTTGGGAGCAGCTGTGGTTGGTGTGGGAGCAGCTGTATTTGTTGTGGGAGCAGCTGTGGTTGTTGTGGGAGCACTTGTGGTTGTTGTGGAAGCAGCTGTGGTTGTTTTGGAAGCAGCTGTGGTTGTTGTGGGTGACGCAGGTGTTTTCGTTGTCACCACTGTGGTTGGTGTGGGAGCAGGTGTATTTATTGTGGGAGAAGCAGTGGCTGTAGCGGGAGCAGATGTGGTTGTTGTGGGTGCAGTTTTCGTTTTTGTAGCCGCAGATGTAATTGTTGTTGGTGCTGCTGTGGTTGTTGTGGGAGCAGCTGCAGTTGTTGTGGGAGCAGCTGTGGTTGTTGTGGGTACAGCTGTGCTTGTTGTAGCCACAAAAAATGTTTGCGTAGCAGCAGCTGTGGTTGTCATTGGGGCTGCTTTAATTGTTGTGGTGGATGTTGTTAATGCAACAGTCATTGTTGTTGGGATGGCTGTGGTTGTTAGAACCACAGGTTTTGTTAATGTAGAAGCAGCTGTGGTGGTTGTGGGTGCAGCTGTGGCTGTTGTGGGTGCAGCTGTGGTGGTTGTGGGTGCAGCTGTGGTGGTTGTGGGTGCAGCTGTGGTGGTTGTGTGTGCAGTTGTGGTTGTTGTGGGAGCAGCTGTGGTTGTTGTGTGAATGGCTGTGGTTGTTGTATCCCCAGCTGTTTTTGTCGTGGGTGCAGCTGTAGTTGTTTTCGCCGCAACTGTAGTTGTAGATGGTGCAGCTGTGGTTTTGGTGGGTGCACCTGTGGTTGTTGTAGCCGCAGCTGTAATTGTTGTTGGTGCTGATGTGGTTGTTGTGGGAGTGGCTGTGGTTGTCGTGGGAGCAGCTGTGGTTGTTGGGGATACGGCTGTGCTTGTTGTAGCCACAGCTGTTTTTGTCATAGCAGCAGCTGTGGTTGTCATTGGGGCTACTTTGGTTGTTGTGGGTGCAGCTGTGGTTGTTGTAGCCGCAGATGTAATTGTTGTTGGTGCTATTGTGGTTGTTGTAACCACAGCGGTTTTTGTCGTAGCAGCAGCTGTGGTTGTTGTGGGACCAGCTGTGGTTGATATGGGTGAAGCTGCAGTTGTTCTGGGAGCAGATGTGTTTGATGTAGGAGCAAATGTGGTTGTTGTGAGGGAATATGTGGTTGTTATGGGAGCCGCTGTTGTCGGGGGAGGAACTGTTGTGGTAACAGGAGCTGTGGTCGTCATTGGTGCTGATGTGGTTATTGTGGGATAAGCTGTGGTTGTTTTGGGGGCGGCTGTGATTGTCGTAGTCACAGATGTAGTTGTCGTAGAAGCAGCAGTGGCTGTTGCAGGACTAGCAGTAGTTGATATGGGAGCAGCTGTGGTTGTTGTGGCTGCAGGTGTAGTTGTTATTGCCACAGCAGTTTTTGTTGTTGGTGCTGCTGTGATTGTTGTGGGAGGAGCTTCGGTTGTTGTGGGAGCAGCTTTGGTTGTTGTGGGAGCAGCAGTGGTTGTTACAGGAGCAGCTGTGGTTATTGTAGGGACGGCTGTGGTTTTTGAAGTAACAGCTGTTGTTGTTGTAGCAGCAGCTGTGATTTTCATTGGTGTTGCTGTGGTTGTTGTGGTGGATGCTGTGGATGTTGTTAATGCAACTGTGGTTGTTGTCGGGGCAGCTGTAGTTGTTTGAACACCAGCTATTGTTGATGTAGCAGAAGGTGTGGTTGTTGTGGAAGCAACTGTGGTTGTTGTGGGTGTAGCTGTGGTTGTTATGTGACCAGCAGTGGTTATTTTGGGTGCAGCTGTAGTTGTTTTCGCCCCTGCTGTAGTTGTCGTTGGTGCAGCTGGGGTTGTTGTGGGTGTATCTGTGGTTGTTGTGGGAACAGCTGTGTTCATTGTGGGGACGGCTGTGGTTTGTGTAGCCACAGCTGTGGTTTTCGTACCAGCGGCTGTGATTGTAGTGGGTGAGTCTGTGGTTGTTGGGGGAGCAGATGTGACTGTTGTGGGTGCAGCTTTGGCAGTTGTGGGAGCAGCTGTGGTTGTTTTTGGTGCAGCTGTAGTTGTGATCGCCACAAATGTTATTGTCGTTGGTGCTGCTGTGTTTCTTGTAGGAAGAGTGGAGACTTGTGTTGTTGCCCCAGCTGTAGATGTCATTGGTGCTGATATTGGTATTGTGGAATTTGCTGTCATTGTTGTGGGAGCAGCTGTGGTTGTTGTGGGAGCAGCTGTGGTTGTTGAGGGTGCAGCTGTGGTTGTTGTGTGACCAGAGGTGGTTGTTGTGGGAGCAGCTGTGGTTGTTTTCGGAGCAGCTGTAGTTGTCGTTGGTGCAGCAGTGGTTGTTGTGGGTGCACCCGTGGTTGTTGTAGCCGCAGCTGTAATTGTTGTTGCTGCTGATGTGGCTGTTTTGGGAGCAGCAGTGGTTGTTATGGGAGAAAATGTGGTTTTTGTGGATGAAGCTGTTGTTGTCGTCATCACGGCTATGGTTGTTGTTGGTGCAGCTGTGGTTGTTGTGGCAGCAGCTGTGGTTGTAGTGTGGACGGCTGTGGTTGTTGTAGCCGCAGCTGTTGTTGTCGTAGCAGCAGCTGTGGTTGTTGGTGGTGCTGCTTTGGTTGTTGTTGGGACTGCTATGTGTGTTGTCAGAGCAGATGTGGTTGTTGTGGGTGCAGTTGTGGTTGTCGTAGCAGCAGCTGTGGATGTTGTCAATTCAGCGGTGGTTGTTGTGGGGACAGCTGTGGTTTTTGGCCCAGCTGTAGGTGTCATTGGTGCGTCTGTGGTTGTTGTGGGAGCAGCTGTGGTTGTTTTGGGATCAGCTGTGGTTGTTGTAGATGCAGCTGTAGTTATTGTTGCCGCTGCAACGGTAGTTGTCATTGGTGAACCTGTGGTTGTTGTAGCCGCAGCTGTAATTTTTGTTGCTGCTTTGGCTGTTTTGGGAGTAGCAGTGGTTGTTATGGGAGCAAATGTGGTTGTTGTGGATGAAGCTGTTGTTTTCATCGTCACGGCTGTGGTTGTCGTTGGTGCAGCTGTGCTTGTTATGGCAGCAGCTGTGGTGGTAGTGGGGACGGCTGTGGTTGTTGTAGACGCAGTTGTTGTTGTTGTAGCAGCAGCTGTGGTTGATGTAGATGCAGCTGTAATTGTTGTTGCCGCTGCAACGGTAGTTGTTGTTGGTGCTGGTGTTGTTTTTGTGGGGGCAGCTGCGGTTTTTGTAGCAGCAACTGTGGATGTTGTTAATTCAGCTGTGATTGTTGTAGCAGCAGCTGTGGATGTTGTAAATTCATCTGTGGTTGTTTTGGGGACGGCTGTGGATGTTTTCTCAGCTGTAGTTGTCATTGGTGTCACTGTGGATTTCATGGGTGCAGCTGTGGTTGTTGTTGGAGGAGCTGTGGTTGTTTTGGGGGCAGCTGTGGTTGTTGTGGTATCAGCTTTGGTTGTTGTAGTTGCAGCTGTTGTTGACATAGCAGCAGAGGTGGTTGTTGTGGGATAAGCTGTGGTTGTTGTGGGAGTAGCTGTGGTTGTGTGAGTTGATTTTGCCCCAGACGTAGTTGTTATTGGTGCTGATCTGGTTGTTGTGGGAGCAACTGGGGTTATTGCGGGTGCAGCTGTGGTTGTTGTGTGACTAGCAGCAGCTGTAATTGTTGTTGCTGCTGATATGGCTGTTTTGTGAGCAGCAGTGGTTGTTATGGGAGCAAATGTGGTTGTTGTGGATGAAGCTGTTGTCGTCGTCACGGCTGTGGTTGTCGTTGGTGCAACTTTGGTTGTTGTGGGAGCAGCTGTGATTGTAGTGGGGACGGCTGTGGTTGTTGTAGCCGCAGCTATTGTTGTCGTATTAGCAGCTGTGGTTGTTTGTGGTGCTGCTTTGGTTGTTGTGAAAAAACCTGTGTTTGTTTTCGTAGCAGCTGTAGTTGTTGTAGGGACAGCTGTGGTTGTTGTGGGGACTGCTATGGATGTTGTCGGAGCAGGTGTGGTTGTTGAGGGTGCAGTTGTGGTTGTCGTAGCAGCAGCTGTGGATGTTGTAAATTCAGATGTGTTTGTTGTGGGGACAGATGTGGTTTTTTGCCCAGCTGTATGTGTCATTGGTGCATCTGTGGTTGTTGTGGGAACAGCTGTGGTTGTTTTGGGATCAGCTGTGGTTGTTGTAGATGCAGCTGTAATTGTTGTTGCTGTGGGGGCCGCTGCGGTTTTTGTAGCAGCAACTGTGGATGTTGTTAATTCAGCTGTGATATTTGTAGCAGCAGCTGTGGATGTTGTAAATTCATCTGTGGTTGTTGTTGGGACGGCTGTGGATGTTTGCCCAGCTGCCACTGTGGATTTCATGGGAGCAGCTATGGTTGTTGTTGGAGGAGCTGTGGTTGTTGTGGGGGCAGCTGTGGTTGTTGTGGTATCAGCTTTGGTTGTTGTAGTTGCAGCTGTTGTTGACATAGCAGCAGAGGTGATTGTTGTGGAAGAAGCTGTGGTTGTTGTGGCGGCAGCTGGGATTGTTGTGGGTACGGCTGTTGGAGTTGTAGCCGCAGCTGTTGGTGTAGCAGCAACAGTGGTTGTTGCTGCTGCTTGAGCAGCTTTGGGTGTTGTTGGTGCAGCTGTGGTTGTTGTGGGAGCAGCTGTGATTGTTTTGGGCATGGCTTCGGTTGTTGTTGTCGTAGCTGTTGTCATAGCAGCAGCTGTGGTTGTTGCGGGAGCAGCTGTGATTGTTGTTGGTGCAGCTGTGGTTGTTGTAGACACAGCAGCAGTTGTCGTAGCCACAGCTGAATGTTTTGTTGTTGTGGTTGCAACTGTGGTTGTTTTGGGATCAGCTTTTGTTGTTGTATGTGTAGCTGTAGTTATCATTTCCGCTGCAATGGTAGTTGTTGTTGATGCTATTGTGGTTGTTGTGGGGGCAGCTGTGGTTTTCGTAGCAGTAACTGTGGGTGTTGTTAATTCAGCTGTGGTTGTTGTAGCAGCAGCTGTGGATGTGGTAAATTCATCTGTGGTTGTTGTGGGGACGGCTGTGGATGTTTGCCCAGCTGAAGTTGTCGTTGGTGCCAATGTGGATTTCATGGGAGCAGCTGTGGTTGTTGTTGGAGGAGCTATGGTTGTTGTGGGGGCAGCTGTGGTTGTTGTGGTATCAGCTTTGGTTGTTGTAGTTGCAGCTGTTTTTGACATAGCGGCAGAGGTTGTTGTTGTGGGAGAAGCTGTGATTGTTATGGCAGCAGCTGGGGTTGTTGTGGGTACGGCTGTTGTAGTTGTAGCCTCAGCTGTTGATGTGGCAGCAGCGGTGGTTGTTGGTGCTGCTTGAGCAGCTTTGGCTGTTGTTGGTGCAACTGTTGTTGTTGTGGGAGCAGCTATGGTTGTTGTCGTGGCAGTAGTATTAGTCGTTGGTAAAGCTGTCGTTGTTGTAGGAGCAGTTGTGGTTGTTTTGGGCATGGCTTCGGTTGTTGTTGTCGTAGCTGTTGTCATAGCAGCAGCTATGGTTGTTGCGGGAGCAGCTGTGATTGTTGTTGGTGAAGCAGCAGTTGTCGTAGCCACAGCTGAATTTGTTGTTGTTGTGGTTGTAACTGTGGTTGTTTTGGGATCAGCTTTTGTTGTTATATGAGTAGCTGTAGTTGTTGTTTCAGCTGCAACGGTAGTTGTTGCTTCTCTGGTTGCTTTGGGGGCAACTGTGGTTGTCGTAGAAGCAACGGTGGACGTTGTTATTTCAGCTGCTTCAGTTGTGAGGATGGCTGTGGTTGTTGCCAGAGCTGGAGCAGCTGTGGTTGTTGTGGGTGCAGCTGTGGTTGTTGTGTGGATGGCTGTGGTTGTTGTAGCCGTAGCTGTTGTTAATGTAGAAGCAGATGTGGTTGTGTGAGCTGCTGTAGTAGCTGTAATTGTTGTGGGGACAGCTGTGGTTGCTGTAGCCTCTGCTTTAGATGTCGTTGGTGCTGATGTGGTTGTTGTGGTGTCAGCTGTTGTTGTGGGAGCAGCTGTCGTTGTTGTGGGTGCAGCTATGGTTGTTGTGGGAGCAGCTGTGCTTATTGAAGGTGCAGCTGTAGTTGTTGTTGCAATCGCAGCTTTATTTGTTGTGGGTGCAGCTGTGGTTGTTGTGAGGATGGCTGTTATTGTTGCCCCAGCTGAAGTTGTCATTGTTAAATATTTGGTTGTTGTGGGAGCAGCTGTGGTTATTGTCAGAGGACCTGTATTTGATTTGGGCACAGTGGATGTTATGGGTGCTGCTGTTGTTGTAGTCACAACTGCAGTTGTCGTAGCCGCAGCTGTTGATGTGGCAGCATGTGTGGTTGTTGCCCTAGCCAATGTGGTTGTTGTAGGTGAAGCTGTGGTTGTTGTCGTCTCAGCAGTATTAGTCGTTGGTAAAGCTGATGTTGTTGTAGGCTCAGTTGTGGTTATTGTGGGTACGGCTTCCGTTGTTGTTGCCGCAGCTGTTGTCATAGCAGCAGCTATGGTTGTTGTGGGAGCAGCTGTGGATGTTGTTAATTCAGCTGTGGTTGTTGTGGGGACGTCTGTGATTGTTGCTCCAGCAGTAGTTGCCATTGGTGCCTCTGTGGTTGTTGTGGTAGCAGATGTGATGTTTGTTAGAGAAGCTGTGTTTGTTGTTTGAGCAGCTGTGGTTGTTGAGGGGACGGTTGTGGTTGTTGCTCCAGCCTTAGTTGTTGTTGGTGCATCTGTGGTTATTGTGGGAGCAGTTGTGGTTGTTGTGGGTGAAGCTGTGGTTGTTGTGGGAGCAGCTGTGGTTGTTGTCGTCGCATCAGTATTAGTAGTTGGTAAAGTTGTCGTTCTTGTAGGAACAGCTGTTGTCAAAGCAGCTATGATCGTTGTGGGAGAAGCTCTGGTTGTTGTGGTTGCAGCTGTGGTTGCTGTATTTGTTTTTGTGGGTGCAGCTGTGGTTGTTGTGGGGATGGCTGTGGTTGTTAGAGCCGCTGCTGTTGTTGATGTAGTGGCAGATGTGGTTGTGGGAGCTGCTGTAGCAGCTGTGGTTGTTGTAGACCCTGCTTTAGATGTTGTTGGTGCCTCTGTGGTTATTGTGGGTGCAGCTGTGGTTGTTGTGGGAGCAGCTGTGGTTGTTGTCGTCGCAGAAGTATTAGTCGTTGGTAAAGCTGTCGTTGTTGTAGGAACAGCTGTTGTCATATCAGCTATGATTGTTGTGGGAGCAGCTGTGGTTGTTGTTCGTGCAGCTGTGGTTGCTGTAGACATAGCTGTAGTTGTCGAAGCCGCAGCTGTATTTGTTTTTGTGGGTGCGGCTGTGGTTGTTGTGGGGATGGCTGTTGTTGTTGGAGCCGCAGCTGTTGTTGATGTAGCAGCAGATGTGGTTGTGGGGGCTGCTGTAGCATCTGTGGTTGTTGTAGCATCTGCTTTAGATGTTGTTGGTGACTCTGTTGTTATTGTTGGAGCTGCTGTGATTGTTGCCCCTGCTTTAGTTGTTGATGATACATCTGTGGTTGTTGTGGGAGCAGCTGTGGTTATTGTTGGAGGAGCTGTGGTAGATTTGGGCACAGTAGTGTTTGTTGTGGGAGCAGCTGTGGTTGTTATGGAATCAGCTGTGGTTGTTGTGGGGATGTCTGTGATTGTTGCTCCAGAAGTAGTTGCCGTTGGTGCCTCTGTGGTAGTTCTGGTAGCAGCTGTGGTGTTTGTTAGAGAAACTGTGGTTGTTGTTTGAGCAGCTGTTTTTGTTGGGGGGACGGTTGCGGTTGTTGTCGTCGCATCAGTATTAGTAGTTGTTAAAGCTGTCGTTGCTGTAGGAGCAGCTGTTGTCATAGCAGTTATGATTGTTGTGGGAGCAGCTGTGGTTGTTGTGGATGCAGCTTTGGTTGCTGTAGTCATAGCTGTAGTTGTCGTAGCCGCAGCTGCATTTGTTTTTGTGGGTGCAGCTATGGTTGTTGTGGGGTTGGCTGTTTTTGTTGGAGCCGCAGCTGTTGATGATGTAGCAGCAGATGTGGATGTGGGAGCTGCTGTAGCAGCTGTGGTTGCTTTAGATGTTGTTGGTGCCTCTGTGGTTATTGTGGGAGCAGCTGTGGTTGTTGTGGGAGCAGCTATGGTTGTTGTCGTTGCAGAAGTATTAGCCGTTGGTAAAGCTGTTGTTGTTGTAGGAGCAGCTGTTGTCATAGCAGCTGTGGCTGTTATGGATGCAGCTGTTCTTGCTGTAGACATAGCTGTAGTTGTCGTATCCGCAACTTTATTTGTTTTTGTGGGTGCTGATGTGGTTGTTGTGTCAGCTGTAGTTGTGGGAGCATCTGCAGTTGTTGTGGGGGCGGTTGTGGTTGTCATAACAGCAGATGTTGTTGTCATAGCAGCAGATGTGGTTGCTATGGGGGAATCTGTGGTTGTTTCTGTGGCAGCTGGGATTGTTGTGGGGACTGCTGAAGTTGTTGTAGCACCAGCCGTTGATGTGGTAGCAGCTGGGGTTGTTGTGAGGGTGGCTGTGATTGTTGCCCCAGCTGTAGTTGCCGTTGTTAAATCTTTGGTTGTTGTGGGAGCAGCTGTGGTTGTTGTGGGAGCAGCTGTGGTTGTTGTCGCTGCAGCATTATTAGCCGTTGGTAAAGCTGTCGTTGTTGTAGGAGCAGTTGTGGTTGTTATTGGCACGGCTCCATTTGTTGTTGCCGCAGCAGTTGTCATAGCAGCTATGTTTGTTGTGTGGACAGCTGTTGTTGTTGTGGGTGCAGCTGTGGTTGTTGTATGCAGAGTTGTAGTTGTCGTAGCTGCAACTGTGTTTGTTGTTGTGGGTGAATCTGTGTTTGATGTGAGGATGGCTGTGGTTGTAGAAGCCGAAGCTGTTGTTGTCGTAGCAGCAGATGTGGTTGTTATCGGGAAAGCTGTGGTTGTTTTTGCGGCAACTGGGATTGTTGTGGGGACATCTGTATTTATTGTAGTCACATCTGTTGATGTGGCAGCAGATGTGGTTGTTGTGAGGACGGCTGTGATTGTTGCCCCTGCTTTATTTGTCATTGGTACATCTGTGGTTGTTGTGGGAGCAGCTACAGTTATTGTTGGAGGAGCCGTGGTTGATTTGGGCACAGTTGGGTTTGTTGTGGGAGCAGCTGTGGTTGTTGTGGAATCAGCTGTGGTTGTTGAAGATTCAGATATAGTTGTTATTGCCATCACAGCTTTAGCTGTTGTTGGTGCTGCTCTGGTTGTTGTGGGTGCAGCTGTGGTTGTTGTGGGTGCCGCTGTGGTTGTTGTGGCAGCAGCTGTGGTTGTTGTGGCAGCAGCTGTGGTTGTTGTGGGAGCAGCTGTGGTTGTTGTCGTTGCACCAGTATTAGCCGTTGGTAAAGCTGTCGTTGTTGTAGGAGCTGTTGTGGTTGTTGTGGGTACGGCTTCACTTGTTGTTGCCGCAGCTGTTGTCATTGCAGCCACTATGTTTGTTGTGGGAGCAGCTGTGGCTGTTATCGGTGCAGCTGTTGTTGTTGTAGTCACAGCTGTAGTTGTCGTAGCCACATCTGTTGATGTGGTAGCAGGTGTGGTTGTTGCCATAGCCAATGTGGTTGTTGTGGGTACAGCTTCACTTGTTGTTGCCACAGCTGTTGTCATAGCAGCCACTATGTTTGTTGTGGGAGCAGCTGTGGCTGTTTTGGGTGCAGCTGTTGTTGTTGTAGTCACAGCTGTAGTTGTCGTAGCAACATCTGTTGATGTGGCAGCAGGTGTGGTTGTTGTCGTCTCCGCAGTATTAGTCGTTGGTAAATATTTTGCTGTTGTAGCAGCAGTTGTGGTTATTGTGGGTACAGCTTCCGTTGTTGTTGCTGCAGCTGTTGTCATAGAATCAGCTATGGTTGTTGTGGGAGCAGCTGTGGTTGTTGTGGGGATGTTTGTGATTGTTACTCCAGCTGTTGTTGCCGTTGGTGCCTCTGTGGTTGTTGAGGTTGCAGCTGTGGTGTTTGTCAGAGAAGCTGTGTTTGTTGTGGGAGCAGCTGTGGTTGTTGTAGTCACAGATGTAGTTGTCGTAGCCACATCTGTTGATTTGGCAGCAAGTGTGGTTGTTGCCATAGCCAATGTGGTTGTCGTGGGTGCAGCTGTGGTTGTTGTCGTCTCCGCAGTATTAGTCGTTGGGAAATATTTTGTTGTTGTAACAGCATTTGTGGTTGTTGGGGGTACATCTTCCATTGTTGTTGCTGCAGCTGTTGTCACAGCATCAGCTATGGTTGTTGTGGGGATGTTTGTGATTGTTGTTCCAGCTGTAGTTGCCGTTGGTGCCTCTGTGGTTGTTGTGGTTGCAGCTGTGATTTTTGTCACAGAAGCTGTGTTTGTTGTGGGAGCAGCTGTGGTTGGTGTAGTCACAGCTGTAGTTGTCGTAGCCACATCTGTTGATGTGGCAGCAGGTGTGGTTGTTGCCATAGCCAATGTGGTTGTTGTGGGTGCAGCTGTGGTTGTTGTCGTCTCCGCAGTATTAGTCAATGGTAAATATTTTGTTGTTGTAACAGCATTTGTGGTTGTTGTGGGTACAGCTTCCGTTGTTGTTGCTGCAGCTGTTGTCACAGCATCAGCTATGGTTGTTGTGGGTGCAGCTGTGGTTGTTGTAGACATAGCTGTAGTTGTCTTAACCACAGCTGTATTTGTTTTTGTGGGTTCAGCTGTGGTTGCTGTGGGAGCAGCTGTGGTTGTTGTGGGAGCATCTGTGGTTGTTGTGGGTGCAGCTGTAGTTGTTGGTGCAATCGCAGATTTATTTGTTGTGGGTGCAGCTGGGATTGTTGTGGGGATGGCCATAGTTGTTGTAGCCTCAGCTGTTGATGTGGCAGCAGCTGTGGTTGTTGTGAGGACGGCTGTGATTTTTACCCCAGCTGTAGCTGTCATTCTTAAATTTGTGGTTGTTGTGGGAGCAGCTGTGGTTATTGTCAGAGGAGCTGTATTTGATTTGGACGGAACTGTGGTTGTTGTGGTTGCAGCTGTGATTGTTGTGGGAGCAGCTGTGGTTGTTGTCGGAGCAGCAGTATTAGTCTTTTGTAAAGCTGTCATTGTTGTAGGATCAGTTGTGGTTGTTGTGGGCACGGCTTTTGTTGTTGTTGCCACAGCTGTTGTCATAGCAGCAGCTATGGTTGATGTGGGAGCAGCTGTGGTTGTTGTGGGAGCAGCTGTGGTTTTTGTGGGTGCAGCTGTGGTTGTTGTGTGGATGGCTGTAGTTGTTGTAGCCGTAGCTGTTGTTAATGTAGAAGCAGATGTGGTTGTGTGAGCTGCTGTAGTAGCTGTAATTGTTGTGGGGACAGATGTGGTTGCTGTAGCCCCTGCTTTAGATGTCGTTGGTGCTGATGTGGTTGTTGTGGTGTCAGCTGTTGTTGTGGGAGCAGCTGTCATTGTTGTGGGTGCAGCTATTGTTGTTGTAGGAGCAGCTGTACTTATAGAAGGTGCAGCTGTAGTTGTTGTTGCAATCACAGCTTTATTTGTTGTGGGTGCAGCTGGGCTTGATGTGGGGATGGCCAAAGTTGTTGTAGCCCCAGCTGTTGATGTGGCAGCAGCTGTGGTTGTTGTGAGGACGGCTGTGATTGTTTCTTCAGCTGTAGCTGTCATTTTTAAATCTTTGGTTGTTGTGGGAGCAGCTGTGGTTATTGTAGTCACAGCTCTAGTTGTCGTAGCCACATTTGTTGATGTGGCAGCAGGTGTGGTTGTTGCCATAGCCAATGTGGTTGTTGTGGGTGCAGCTGTGGTTGTTGTCGTCTCCGCAGTATTAGTCTTTGGGAAATGTTTTGTTGTTGTAACAGCATTTGTGGTTGTTGTGGGTACAGCTTCACTTGTTGTTGCCACAGCTGTTGTCATAGCAGCCACTATGTTTGTTGTGGGAGCAGCTGTGGCTGTTAGCGGTGAAGCTGTTGTTGTTGAAGTCACAGCTGTAGTTGTTGTAGCCACATCTGTTGATGTGGCAGCAGGTGTGGTTGCTGCCATAGCCAATGTGGTTGTTGTGGGTGCAGCTGTTGTTGTTGTCGTCTCCACAGTATTAGTCGTTGGTAAATATTTTGTTGTTGGAGCAGCTGTGGTTATTGTCAGAGGAGCTGTATATGATTTGGGCACAGTGGCTGTTATGGGTGCTGCTGTTGTTGTAGTCACAACTGCAGTTGTCGTAGCCGCAGCTGTTGATGTGGCAGCATGTTTGGTTGATGCTCTAGCCAATGTGGTTGTTGTGGGTGAAGCTGTGGTTGTTGTCGTCTCAGCAGTATTAGTCGTTGGTAAAGCTGCTTTTGTTGTAGGAGCAGTTGTGGTTATTGTGGGTACGGCTTCCGTTGTTGATGCCACAGCTGTTGTCATAGCAGCAGCTATGGTTGTTGTGAGAGCAGCTGTGGATGTTGTTAATTCAGCTGTGGTTGTTGTGGGGACATCTGTGAATGTTGCTCCAGCAGTAGTTGCCATTGGTGCCTCTGTGGTTGTTGTGGTAGCAGCTGTGGTGTTTGTTAGAGAAGCTGTGTTTGTTGTTTGAGCAGCTGTGGTTGTTGGGGGGATGGTTGTGGTTGTTGCCCCAGCCTTAGTTGTTGTTGGTGCATCTGTGGTTATTGTGGGAGCAGTTGTGGTTGTTGTGGGTGAAGCTGTGGTTGTTGTGGGAGAAGCTGTGGTTGTTGTCGTCGCATCAGTATTAGTAGTTGGTAAAGTTGTCGTTCTTGTAGGAGCAGCTATTGTCAAAGCAGCTTTGATTGTTGTGGGAGCAGCTGTGGTTGTTGTGGGTGCAGCTGTGGTTGCTGTAGACATAGCCGTAGTTGTCGTAGCCGCAGTTGTATTTGTTTTTGTGGGTGCGGCTTTTGTTGTTGTGGTGATGACTGTGTTTGTTGTCGTAGCCGCAACTGTTTTTGTTGTTGTGGGTGAAGCTGTGATTGTTGTAGCTGAAGCTGTTGTTGTCGTAGCAGCAGATGTGGTTGTTATGGGGAAAGCTGTGGTTGTTTTTGCCGCAACTGGGATTGTTGTGGGGACGTTTGTAGTTATTGTAGTCACAGCTGTTGATGTGGCAGCAGATGTGGTTGTTGTGAGGACGGCTGTGATTGTTGCCCCTGCTTTATTTGTCGTTGGTACATCTGTGGTTGTTGTGGGAGCAGCTGTAGTTATTGATGGAGGAGCCGTGGTTGATTTGGGCACAGTTGTGTTTGTTGTGGGAGCAGCTGCTGTTGTTGTGGAATCAGCTGTGGTTGTTGAAGATGCAGCTATAGTTGTTATTGCCATCATAGCTTTAGCTGTTGTTGGTGCTGATTTGGTTGTTGTGGGAGCAGCTGTGGTTGTTGTGGGTGCAGCTGTGGTTGTTGTGGCAGCATCTGTGGTTATTGTGGGAGCAGTTGTGGTTGTTGTGGGTGAAAATGTGGTTGTTGTGGGAGCAGCTGTGGTTGTTGTCGTCGCATCAGTATTAGTAGTTGGTAAAGTTGTCGTTCTTGTAGGAGCAGCTATTGTCAAAGCAGCTTTGATTGTTGTGGGAGCAGCTGTGGTTGTTGTGGGTGCAGCTGTGGTTGCTGTAGACATAGCCGTAGTTGTCGTAGCCGCAGTTGTATTTGTTTTTGTGGGTGCGGCTGTGGTTGTTGTGGGGATGGCTGTGGTTGTTGGTGCCGCAGCTGTTGTTGATGTAGCGGCAGATGTGGTTGTGGGAGCTGCTGTAGCATCTGTGGTTGTTGTAACCCCTGCTTTAGATGTTGTTGGTGACTCTGTGGTTATTGATGGAGCAGCTGTGGTTGTTGTAGGAGCAGTTGTGGTTGTTGTGGGCATGGCTCCGGTTGTTTTTGCTGCAGCTGCTGTCATTGCAGCTATGTTTGTTGTGTGGACAGCTGTTGTTGTTGTAGGTGCAGCTGTGGTTGTTGTATGCAGAGCTGTAGTTGTCGTACCCGCAACTGTGTTTGTTGTCGTAGCCGCAACTGTGTTTGTTGTTGTGGGTGAAGCTGTGATTGTTGTAGCTGAAGCTGTTGTTGTCGTAGCTGCAGATGTGGTTGTTATGGGGAAGGCTGTGGTTGTTTTTGCCGCAACTGGGATTGTTGTGGGGACGTCTGTAGTTATTGTAGTCATAGCTGTTGATGTGGCAGCAGATGTGGTTGTTGTGAGGACGGCTGTGATTGTTGCCCCTGCTTTATTTGTCGTTGGTACATCTGTGGTTGTTGTGGGAGCAGCTGTAGTTATTGATGGAGGAGCCGTGGTTGATTTGAGCACAGTTGTGTTTGTTGTGGGAGCAGCTGCTGTTGTTGTGGAATCAGCTGTGGTTGTTGAAGATGCAGCTATAGTTGTTATTGCCATTACAGCTTTAGCTGTTGTTGGTGCTGATCGGGTTGTTGTGGGAGCAGCTGTGGTTGTTGTGGGTGCAGCTGTGGTTGTTGTGGCAGCCGCTGTGGTTGTTGTGGGAGCAGCTGTGGTTGTTGTGGGAGCAGCTGTGGTTGTTGTGGGAGCAGCTGTGTCTGTTGTCGTTGCACCAGTATTAGTCGTTGGTAAAGCTGTCGTTGTTGTAGGAGCTGTTGTGGTTGTTGTGGGTACGGCTTCAGTTGTTGTTGCTGCAGCTGTTGTCATAGCATCAGCTATGGTTGTTGTGGGAGCAGCTGTGGTTGTTGTGGGGATGTTTGTGATTGTTGCTCCAGCTGTAGTTGCCGTTGGTGCCTCTGTGGTTGTTGTGGTTGCAACTTTGGTGTTTGTCAGAGAAGTTGTGTTTGTTGTGGGAGCAGCTGTGGTTGTTGTAGTCACAGCTGTAGTTGTCGTAGCCACATCTGTTGATGTGGCAGCAGGTGTGGTTGTTGCCATAGCCAATGTGGTTGTTGTGGGTGCAGCTGTGGTTGTTGTCGTCTCCGCAGTATTAGTCGTTGGGAAATGTTTTGTTGTTGTAGCAGCATTTGTGGTTGTTGTGGGTACAGCTTCACTTGTTATTGCCGCAGCTGTTTTAATAGCAGCCCCCATGTTTGTTGTGGGAGCAGCTGTGGCTGTTATCGGTGCAGCTGTTGTTGAAGTCACAGCTGTAGTTGTCGTAGCCACATCTGTTGATGTGGCAGCAGGTTTGGTTGCTGCCATAGCCAATGTGGTTGTTGTGGGTGCAGCTGTGGTTGTTGTCGTCTCCGCATTATTAGTCGTTGGTAGATATTTTGTTGTCGTAGCAGCAGTTGTGGTTGTTGTGGGTACGGCTTTAGTTGTTGTTGCTGCAGCTGTTGTCATAGCATCAGCTATGGTTGTTGTGGGAGCAGCTGTGGTTGTTGTGGGGATGTTTGTGATTGTTGCTCCAGCTGTAGTTGACGTTGGTGCCTCTGTGGTTGTTGTGGTTGCAGCTTTGGTGTTTGTCAGAGAAGTTGTGTTTGTTGTGGGAGCAGCTGTGGTTGTTGTAGTCACAGCTGTAGTTGTCGTAGCCACATCTGTTGATGTGGCAGCAGGTGTGGTTGTTGCCATAGCCAATGTGGTTGTTGTGGGTGCAGCTGTGGTTGTTGTCGTCTCCGCAGTATTAGTCGTTGGGAAATATTTTGTTGTTGTAACAGCATTTGTGGTTGTTGTGGGTACAGCTTCACTTGTTGTTGCCGCAGCTGTTGTCATAGCAGCCACCATGTTTGTTGTGGGAGCAGCTGTGGCTGTTATCGGTGCAGCTGTTGTTGAAGTCACAGCTCTAGTTGTCGTAGCCACATCTGTTGATGTGGCAGCAGGTGTGGTTGTTGCCATAGCCAATGTGGTTGTTGTGGGTGCAGCTGTGGTTGTTGTGGCGGCAGCTGTGGTTGTCGCCGGCACAACTGTAATTGTTGTGGTCGCAGCGACTGTTGTTTTAGCAGCAGATGTGGTTGTGGGAGCTGCTGTAGTAGTTGTGGTTGTTGTGGGGACAGCTGTGGTTGGTGTAGCCCCATCTTTAGATGTCATTGGTGCTGATCTGGTTGTTGTGGCAGCAGCTGTGGTTGTTGTGGGAGCAGCTGTTGTCGTTTCAGCAGTATTAGTCGTTGATAAAGCTGTCGTTGCTGTAGGAGCAGATGTTGTTTTTATGGGGAAAGCTGTGGTTGTTTTTGCCGCAACTGGGATTGTTGTGGGGACGTCTGTAGTTATTGTAGTCACAGCTGTTGATGTGGCAGCAGATGTGGTTGTTGTGAGGACGGCTGTGATTGTTGTCCCTGCTTTATTTGTTGTTGGTACATCTGTGGTTGTTGTGGGAGCAGCTGTAGTTATTGTTGGAGGAGCCGTGGTTGATTTGGGCACAGTTGTGTTTGTTGTGGGAGCAGCTGCTGTTGTTTTGGAATCAGCTGTGGTTGTTGAAGATGCAGCTATAGTTGTTATTGCCATCACAGCTTTAGCTGTTGTTGGTGCTGCTCTGGTTGTTGTGGGAGCAGCTGTGGTTGTTGTGGGTGCAGCTGTGGTTGTTGTGGCAGCAGCTGTGGTTGTTGTGGGAGCAGTTGTTGTTGTTGTGGGAGCAGCTGTGTCTGTTGTCGTTGCACCAGGATTAGTCGTTGGTAAAACTGTTGTTGTTGTAGGAGCTGTTGTGGTTGTTGTGGGTACGGCTTCACTTGTTGTTGCCGCAGCTGTTGTCATAGCAGCCACTATGTTTGTTGTGGGAGCAGCTGTGGCTGTTATTGGTGCAGCTGTTGTTGTTGAAGTCACAGCTGTAGTTGTCGTAGCCACATCTGTTGATGTGGCAGCAGGTGTGGTTGTTGCCATAGACAATGTGGTTGTTGTGGGTGCCGCTGTGGTTGTTGTCGTCTCCGCAGTATTAGTCGTTGGGAAATATTTTGTTGTTGTAACAGCATTTGTGGTTGTTGTGGGTACAGCTTCACTTGTTGTTGCCGCAGCTGTTGTCATAGCAGCCACCATGTTTGTTGTGGGAGCAGCTGTGGCTGTTATCAGTGCAGCTGTTGTTGAAGTCACAGCTGTAGTTGTCGTAGCCACATCTGTTGATGTGGCAGCAGGTTTGGTTGCTGCCATAGCCAATGTGGTTGTTGTGGGTGCAGCTGTGGTTGTTGTCGTCTCCGCATTATTAGTCGTTGGTAAATATTTTGTTGTCGTAGCAGCAGTTGTGGTTATTGTGGGTACAGCTTCCGTTGTTGTTGCTGCAGCTGTTGTCATAGCATCAGCTATGGTTGTTGTGGGTGTAGCTGGGATGGCTGTGGGGATGGCCATAGTTGTTGTAGCCTCAGCTGTTGATGTGGCAGCAGCTGTGGTTGTTGTGTGGATGGTTGTGGGTGTTGTAGCCGTAGCTGTTGTTAATGTAGCAGCAGTTGTGGTTGTGTGAGCTGCTGTAGTAGCTGTAATTGTTGTGGGGACAGCTGTGGTTGCTGTAGCCCCTGCTTTAGATGTCGTTGGTGCTGATGTGGTTGTTGTGGTGTCAGCTGTTGTTGTGGGAGAAGATGTGGTTGTTGTGGGTGCAGTTGTGGTTGTTGTGGGAGCAGCTGTGCTTATTGAAGGTGCAGCTCTAGTTGTTGTTGCAATTGCAGCTTTATTTGTTGTGGGTGCAGCTGGGATTGCTGTGGGGATGGCCATAGTTGTTGTGGCAGCAGCTGTGGTTGTTGTGAGGACAGCTGTGATTGTTTCCCCAGCTGTAGCTGTCATTGTTAAATATTTGGTTGTTGTGGGAGCAGCTGTGGTTGCAGCTGTGGTTGTTGTGGGAGCAGCTGTGGTTGTTGTGAGGGCAGCTGTGCTTGTCTTGGCATCAGCTGTGGATGTTGTTAAATCAGCTGTGGTTGTTGTGAGGAATGGTGCGATTGTTTCCCCAGTTGTAGTTGTCGTTGTAGCCTCAGCTGTAGATGTTGTTGGTGCTGATGTGTGTTTTGTGGTGTCAGCAGTTGTTGTGGGAGCAGCTGTGGTTGTTGTAGCGGAAGCTGTGGTTGTCGCCGGCACAACTGTAATTGTTGTGGTCGCAGCGACTGTTGTTTTAGATGCAGCTGTGGTTGTGGGAGCTGCTGTAGTAGTTGTGGTTGTTGTGGGGACAGCTGTGGTTGGTGTAGCCCCATCTTTAGATGTCATTGGTGCTGATCTGGTTGTTGTGGTGGCAGCTGTGGTTGTTGTGGGAGCAGCTGTTGTCGTTTCAGCAGTATTAGTCGTTGATAAAGCTGTCGTTGCTGTAGGAGCAGATGTGGTTGTTATGGGGAAAGATGTGGTTGTTTTTGCCGCAACTGGGATTGTTGTGGGGACGTCTGTAGTTATTGTAGTCACAGCTGTTGATGTGGCAGCAGATGTGGTTGTTGTGAGGACGGCTGTGATTGTTGCCCCTGCTTTATTTGTCGTTGGTACATCTGTGGTTGTTGTGGGAGCAGCTGTAGTTATTGTTGGAGGAGCCGTGGTTGATTTGGGCACAGTTGTGTTTGTTGTGGGAGCAGCTGTGATTGTTGTGGAATCAGCTGTGGTTGTTGTGGGGACGTCTGTGATTGTTGCTCCAGAAGTAGTTGCCGTTGGTGCCTCTGTGGTACTTGTGGTAGCAGCTGTGGTGTTTGTTAGAGAAACTGTGGTCGTTGTTTGAGCAGCGGTGGTTGTTGGGGGGACTGTTGCGGTTGTTGTCGTCGCATCAGTATTAGTAGTTGGTAAAGCTGTCGTTACTGTAGGAGCAGCTGTTGTAATAGCAGTTATAATTGTTGTGGGAGCAGCTGTGGTTGTTGTGGATGCAGCTGTGGTTGCTGTAGACATAGCTGTAGTTGTCGTAGCTGCAGCTGTATTCTTTTTTGTCAGTGCAGCTATGGTTGTTGTGGGGATGGCTGTGGTGGTTGGAGCCGCAGCTGTTGATGATGTAGCAGCAGATGAGGTTGTGGGAGCTGCTGTAGCAGCTGTGGTTGCTTTAGATGTTGTTGGTGCCTCTGTGGTTATTGTGGGAGCAGCTGTGGCTGTTGTGGGAGCAGCTATGGTTGTTGTCGTCGCAGAAGTATTAGTCGTTGGTAAAGCTGTCGTTGTTGTAGGAGCAGCTTTTGTCATAGCAGCTGTGGCTGTTATGGTTGCAGCTGTTGTTGCTGTAGACGTAGCTGTAGTTGACGTTGCCGCAGCTTTGTTTGTTTTTGTGGCTGCTGATGTGGTTGTTGTTTTGTCAGCTGTAGTTGTGGGAGCATCTGCGGTTGTTGTGGGGGCGGTTGTGGTTGTCATAACAGCAGTTGCTGTTGTCATAGCAGCAGATGTGGTTGCTATGGGGGAATCTGTGGTTGTTTCTGTGGCAGCTGGAATTGTTGTGGGGACTGCTGAAGTTGTTGTAGCCCCAGTCGTTGATGTGGCAGCAGCTGGGGTTGTTGTGAGGACGGCTGTGATTGTTGCCCCAGCTGTAGTTGTCGTTGTTAAATCTTTGGTTGTTGTGGGAGCAGCTGTGGTTGTTGTGGGAGCAGCTGTGGTTGTTGTGGGCACGGCTCCGTTTGTTGTTGCCGCAGCTGTTGTCATAGCAGCTATGTTTGTTGTGTGGACAGCTGTTGTTGTTGTGGGTGCAGCTGTGGTTGTTGTGGGTACGGCTTCACTAGTTGTTGCCGCAGCTGTTGTCATAGCAGCCACTATTTTTGTTGTGGGAGCAGCTGTGGTTGTTGTGGGGATGTTTGTTATTGTTGCTCCAGCTGTAGTTGCCGTTGGTGCCTCTGTGGTTGTTGTGGTTGCAGCTGTGGTGTTTGTCAGAGAAACTGTGTTTGTTGTGGGAGCTGTAGTTGTCGTAGCCACATCTATTGATGTGGCAGCAGGTGTGGTTGTTGCCATAGCCAATGTGGTTGTTGTGGGTGCAGCTATGGTTGTTGTCGTCTCCGCAGTATTAGTTGTTGGTAAATATGTTGTTGTTTTAACAGCATTTGTGGTTGTTGTGGGTACAGCTTCACTTATTGTTGCCACAGCTGTTGTCATAACAGCCACTATGTTTGTTGTGGGAGTAGCTGTGGCTGTTATCGGTGCAGCTGTTGTTGTTGTAGTCACAGCTGTAGTTGTCGTAGCCACATCTGTTGATGTGGCAGCAGGTGTGGTTGTTGCCTTAGCCAATGTGGCTGTTGTGGGTGCAGCTGTGGTTGTTGTAGCCGAAGCTGTTGTTGTCGTAGCAGCAGATGTGGTTGTTATGGGGGAAGATGTGGTTGTTTTTGCCGCAACTGGGATTGTTGTGGGGACGTCTGTAGTTATTGTAGTCACAGCTGTTGATGTGGCAGCAGCTGTGGTTGTTGTGAAGACTGCTGTGATTGTTGCCCCTGCTTTAGTTGATGTTGATACATCTGTGGTTGTTGTGGGAGCAGCTGTGGTTATTGTTGGAGGAGCTGTGGTTGATTTGGGCACAGTTGTGTTTGTTGTGGGGACGTCTGTGATTGTTGCTCCAGAAGTAGTTGCCGTTGGTGCCTCTGTGGTACTTGTGGTAGCAGCTGTGGTGTTTGTTAGAGAAACTGTGGTCGTTGTTTGAGCAGCTGTGGTTGTTGGGGGGACGGTTGCGGTTGTTGTCGTCGCATCAGTATTAGTAGTTGGTAAAGCTGTCGTTACTGTAGGAGCAGCTGTTGTCATAGCAGTTATGATTGTTGTGGGAGCAGCTGTGGTTGTTGTGGATGCAGCTGTGGTTGCTGTAGACATAGCTGTAGTTGTCGTAGCCGCAGCTGTATATTTTTTTGTCGGTGCAGCTATGGTTGTTGTGGGGATGGCTGTGGTGGTTGGAGCCGCAGCTGTTGATGATATAGCAGCAGATAAGGTTGTGGGAGCTGCTGTAGCAGCTGTGGTTGCTTTAGATGTTGTTGGTGCCTCTGTGGTTATTGTGGGAGCAGCTGTGGCTGTTGTGGGAGCAGCTGTGGCTGTTGTGGGAGTAGCTATGGTTGTTGTCGTCGCATAAGTATTAGTCGTTGGTAAAGCTGTCGTTGTTGTAGGAGCAGCTGTGGTTGTTGTGGGTGCAGCTGTGGTTGTTGTAGACATATATGTAGTTGTCGTAGCCGCAGCTGTGTTTTTGTTTGTGGGAGTAGCTGTGGTTGTTGTGGGAGAAGCTGTGGTTTTTGTCGTCGCAGCAGTATTAGTTGTTGGTAAAGCTGTCGTTGTTGTTGGAGCAGCTGTTGTCATAGCAGCGGCAATGATTGTTGTGGGAGCAGCTGTGGTTGTTGTGGGTGCAGCTGTGGTTGTTGTAGACATAGCTGTAGTTGTCTTAACCACAGCTGTATTTGTTTTTGTGGGTTCAGCTGTGGTTGTTGTGGGAGCAGCTGTGGTTCTTGTCGTCGCAGCAGTATTAGTCGTTGGTAAAGATGTCTTTGTTGTAGGAGCAGTTGTGGTTGTTATGGGCACGGCATCGGTTGTTGATGCAGCAGCTATTGTCATTGCAGCAGCAATGATTATTGTGGGAGCAGCTGTTGTTTTTGTGGGTGCAGCTGTGGTTGATTTGAGGATGGCTGTGGTTGTAGCCGCAGCTATTGTTGGCGTAGCAGCAGATGTGGTTGTAATGGGCGAAGCTGTGGTTGTGTTTGTGGCAGCTGGGATTGTGGTGAGGACGGCTGTGATTGTTGCCCCAGCTGTAGTTGGCGTTGGTGCCTCTGTGATTGTTGTGGGAGTAGCTGTGGTGTTTGTCGTAGAAGCTGTGGTTGTTGTGGGTGAATCTTTAGTTGTTGTGGTAGCAGTTGTCGTTGTTGTGGGCACGGCTTCTGGTGTTGTTGCCGCAGCTGTTGTCATAGCATGAGCTATGTTTGTTGTGGGAACAGCTGTGGCTGTTGTGGGTGCAGCTGTTAATGTTGCAGACACAGCTGTAGTTGTCGTAGCCGCATCTGTTGATGTGGCAGCAACTTTGGTTATTGCCGTATCAGCTGTGGTTGTTGTTGGTGCAGTTGTTGTTGTTGTTGTTGTCTCCAGAGTATTAGTCGATTGTAAAGCTGTCATTGTTGTACGAGCAGCTGTGGTTGTTGTGGGGATGTCTGTGATTGTTGCTCCAGCAGTAGTTGCCGTTGGTGCCTCTGTGGTTGTTGTGGGAGCAGCTGTGGTGTTTGTCTTAGAAGCTGTGGTTGTTGTGGGTGTAGCTGTGGCTGTTGTGGGAGCAGCTGTGGTTGTTGTGGGCATGGCTTTGTTTGTTGTTGAAACAGCTATTGTTGTCGTATCCACAGCTGTATTTGTTGTTTGTGCTGTTGCTGTTGTTGTTGTGGGAGCAGCTGTGGTTGTTGTGGGAGCAGATGTGGTTGTTGTGGTGATGGCTGTGGTTGTTGTAGCAGCAGCTATTGTTGACATAGTTGCAGATATGATTGTTGTTGTCGAAGCTGTGATTGTTATAGAGGCAGTTGCTGTGGGTGTGGTCGAAGCTGTTGTTGTTGTTGTTTTAGCAGAGGCTGTGGTTGTGTGAGCTGCTGTAGTAGCTCTAGATGTTGTTGGTGCCTCTGTGATTGTTGTGAGTGCAGCAGTGGGTCTCGTAGCAGCTCTAGATGTTGTAAATTCAGCTGTGGTTGTTGTGAGGACGGCTGTGATTGTTGCCCCAGCTGTAGTTGCCATTGTTAATTCTGTGGTTGTTGTGGGAGCATCTGTGATTATTGTTGGAGAAGCTGTGTTTGATTTGGGCGCAGCTCTGGTTGTTTTGGGCGCAGCTGTGGTTGTTGTGGGAGCAGCTGTGGTTGTTGTCGTCGCAGCAGTATTTGTCATTGGTAAAGCTGTCATTGTTGTAGGAGCAGTTGTGGTTGTTGTGGGCATGGGTTTGGTTGTTGATGCAGCAGCTTTTGTGATAGCAGCAGCTATGGTTTTTGTGGGAGCAGCTGTTGTTGTGGGTGCAGCTGTGGTTGTTGTATGCAGAGTTGTAGTTGTCATAGCCACAGCTGTGTTTGTTGTTGTGGGTGATGCTGTGGTTGATGTGAGGATGGCTGTGGTTGTTGTAGCCTTAGCAGTTGTTGTCATAGCAGCAGATGTGGTTGTTATGAGGGAAGCTGTGGTTGTGTTTGCGGCAGCTGGGATGGTTGTGGGGACGGCTGTTGATGTGGCAGCAGCTGTGGATGTTGTGAGGATGGCTGTGATTGTTGCCTGAGTTGTAGTTGCTGTTGGTACATCTGTGATTGTTGTGGGATCAGCTGTGGTTATTGTTGGAGGAGCTGTGGTTGATTTGGGTGCAGTTGTGTTTGTTGTGGTAGCAACTTTGGTTGTTGTGATATCAGCTGTGGTTTTTGTGGGTGCAGCTGTGGTCGTTGTGGGCACGGCTTCACTTTTTGTTGCCGCAGCTGTTGTCATAGCAGCAGCTATGTTTGTTGTGGGAGCAGCTGCAACAGTAGCTGTTGTTGGTGCTGCGCTGGTTGTTGTGGGAGCAGCTGTGGTTGTTGCAGTGTCAGCTGTGGTTGGTGTGGGATCAACTGTGTTTTTTTCATGAGCATCTGTGGTGCTTTGAGCTGCTGTTGTAGCTGTGGTTGTTTTGGGGACAGCTGTGATTGTTTTTACCCCAGCTGTAGATGTCGTTTGGGCTGATGTGGTTGTTGTGGTGTTAGCTGTGGGTGTTCTTATTTCGGCTGTGGTTGTTGCCCCAGCTGTAGTTGTCGTTGGTGCCTCTGTGGTTATTTTAGGAGCAGTTATGGTTGTTGTGGGAGTATCTGTGGTTGTTGTTAATTCAGCTGTAGTTGTTGTGGGGATGGCTGTGATATTTTTGGTAGTTGTAGTAGTAGTCGTGTTATTCTGGAGTTCTGAAAAAATTAATTAAAAAATTTAAATAAATGTTAGGTCATTAAAATTGTTCTTTAAATCAGAAAAGCTTGCTCAAATCTTCTTCTTTTTTGGGCAAACTGAAAACTAAGAAAGCCTCTGCCAAGCCTCCCCAAAGTCTCTCCCCTTCCAAACATTTAAAAAATGCCAGCTGTACGGTCACCTGAGCAAAATCATAATAATCAGTGAAGCAAAACCAGCGCTCTAGAATTGTCTTTGCTCATATCCATTTTAATGTTTTTGTCTGTGAAGAGAGACTACCATGATTTTAAATGGTTTTGAAATAAAAACACTTTTAAATGAGGTACACTATTTTAAGTATGATGTGATTTGATTACAACTGATGAAATCAGAGCTGGTAATTTGGCTGTGGGCATCAAAATAAAAACTAAAACCAACAATATGATGACAAATGAGAGGGAAAAATCCATTCAAAAAATCTTGTGTATGAATCTACATACATATTGTGTTCAGATTAATTCTTACCCGCATTGATACTGACAGTAATAATGTCTAAGAAGACTGTGGACGTGTTGATAAACATCTTGAGGGATTCCTCTATAGTTGTAACATTAGGGACCACTGACTGGTTTGTGAAGATCATATTGGTTGTCACACCCACAGACCCAGACCTAAAAATCAAAGCAATAGAATGAATGTGAAATGGGATAAAAATTGTTATTATTATTATTATTAGTAGTAGTAGTAATAGTAGTAGTAGTAGTAGTAGTAGTAGTCATTTATATATGTTGGTTGGTGTGGGATCTATCTGCAATTTTA